CCAGGGAGCAGAGCGCGCGCGACGTGGGCACCTTCCCGGCCTGGACCCGCGAGCGAGGCGCGGAAGTGTCGGCGTTCAGCTCTGGGGTCACCTGGGGACCTGAGTGCTGCTGCCTCGTGCGTGCGTGTGCGTGTGCGTGTGTGTGTGTGTGTGTAAGAGAGACGGAGACACCGCGAGTTAGAGGTAGAGGAGTTAGCGCGTGAAGCGCGGGGCACACGGGGAGCGTTCGGCGGGTGACAGTGAGCGTAGTAAGCGCTGTTTTGCGGGTGTGCGTGCACGCGGGTATCTATGTCTATGTGTGCAGAAAAGCTAGAGCCGCAGGAGGCAGCCACATCTCCCCGCACTTGGGACCCGGGGGAAATAAAAAATGAGACCTCTTCCCAGAAAGGCCAGGGGACCGTGTTTGAGGGGCCCGTACCCTTGGGAAGGCAGGTTCAGATGAGGTGGGGGCTTAGTAACTGGATCCCAGTTTTGAGTCTTGGGAACAAAGACTGCTTTCCTGAAGTCCAAGGAGTGTGTGTGTGTGTGTGTGTGTGTGTGTGTGTGTGGCCGCCAGGCGCCAAGGCGACCCGCCTTTCATGGAGAAGGATGCTGGGCCATTCTGCTGTCAACTCTCTTTTGATCCCTGGTCACGAGGACCAGCAAAAAAAGAGGAACTACTTAATTTGTTTACTGAAGCTTTTCTTTAATAAACTTTTATTATAGAGGTGTTATTTCGGGGCTTGAAAGGTTTTTTAGTACCTGTGTAAAACAATAAATGTGTAAATTTAGCCCGAATGAAAACTTTTATTCCTAGTGAGAGCGTTGGAATTTCTGGGAGTTAGCCATGGGCCAGGTGGAGGGCTGGCAGGATTCTGAGCTTCATGTTACATAAATGTTGTGTTGACTGTTGACTGGTTTACAGCACTTTGTAGGAAAACGCTTTCGGAAGTTTTAAGCTCCCACATCTGTCTTCTTAGACTGTCTTGAGTCTCTGAGCAGATTTGAAGAATTCTTAATAACCAGAGCACTGTTTTTGGCTTTCTCAGAAAAGTTTGTTTCTAGAAAATAAACACCGAATTTAAAATGTGAAACAACTAAATGATACACAGGTGAGGGTTTTTTCTACAAGTCTTTTCATGCTGAAATCTGGTCCGTTTAGAGTTTGCAATGGGATCTGTGGTATTTTCCATTGCTCATAGCAGTGGGTGAGGTATTCTGCTGTTCGTTCTGGAACAAGTATTCTTTATGAAGGAAGACGTGAGCTCAGGTCGAAACTAAAATTCCGTCCTGGACTTTTTTGTTTTTGCAGGTGGCATAAATGGTTTGTGGCTTAAAATGGTTTTAGTTAGTGAAAATAGCCTTTTTACCTGGTGGGTAATTTGAAGCTGCAGTTTTAATATCTGAATTTTTGTCTCGTCATTTTTAATAGGGGAGTTTATATTCTCATAAAGCCTGGCTGAAGCGTTCTATGGTGAATATCAAGTTGACCGGTCTTTCTTTCATTTAGTAAGCAATTCACTGGACTATGGCATTGTAGGTGTTTATGCCACCATTCCACTTGACATTCCCCCTTCAAAGAAAACTATCCCAGTTTGTGGATTCAATATATGAATTATTTAGAGATTTCAGAATGTTCAGAGGCAGCTTCAGATTAGAGCTAATAAAAGGTTAAAAAAACAGAATGAGAAGAAGAAGATAGGTGGCATCTGAAAGACAGAGGGCAGGCCCCCTGCCCACTGCCCATGCCCAGGCATAGTCATCAGAATTGAGAGGGACCAGGACATTTAAACAAAGGCTGTGGTGTGGAGTGTGTAAAGGAAGCTTGCTTTTAATAATCACACCTTTTTTTCTCTCTAGCATGTGTCAGTGCTTCTGTTCCAGACCTAGAAAGGAAACCTCTAGGGCATTTGTGGGGGCAACTGGCTATTAGGTTTGGCTGAGCACACCTCATGGCACCCTGAGCTGGCCACTGCAGAGGGTCCCTGGACCTCTAATCCCTTCAAAAGATTCCAGGCAGTTAATCTTCTCAGCTCATCCACTGCTTAAGGGGCACTTTTGGCTTTTGGATTCAGTTTCTGGATATGAAGATAAGTCATAGTACTTTAAAGCTGACTGCCTTTTTAAAAAACAGGACAGGGAAGGCTATGTAGAAGTAATATGTATTTGTGCCATAAAATTTAAGAACATGCAAGAACAAAAAAGAAAAAAGAATACCAGAAATCTGTGATCCAGATATAATTACTGTCGACACTGGTGTATTTTTTTCTGGCGTTAAAACTAAATTCTATATGCTTCTAAACATTGGTCAAAATTATATATTATATGGTATGTATACATTATGTCATTTTGTATCTTCATATAAAAATGATATTATGAATATTACCTATCTTTTTATATTGTCCTTTTAAATAGCAATTTTACATTCCTGTTGTTTGGGTAGCTTGTAATTTAACTATTTCTCTAGCAGATTCTTGAGATTTTCCTATTCTTTGTCCTTTTGACATTCTTTCCATTTTGATAAAACAGCATCGAACTGATCCATGGTGATATACGTTTCTACAACGTGACTGCTCATAGAAAGTGGCAAAAAAAATTTAACGCCAGGGATAATAAGTGGAAAAATATTCAGTCTTGCCTCAATCTTCTTAATCTCTTAGCTCACTCTTAATTGTCTCATGCCATTGACTAATCTCTGTAGCCTGATAAATTACATTTTATTTACCCCACTGAATTATGGGATCCTTGGGGGCAGAAATTTGTATCTTAATTCGTCTGATTCCCTCTAAAGCCCAGCCAAGGCTTGGCATGTCACAGAGGTTGAAAGTATTCTCTTGCGGGGAGTATATTTCAGGCACTATGTTGGAAACCCAGGTCCTTCCAGAGACATGCAGTGACAAATCTTAATGCAACTGAGTCCCATTACCTTTTTCATTATGGAAAACTTCAAACATCTACCAACAGAGAAAAATAGTATTATGAACTCCTTTGTGATCATCACCTAGTTTCAACAATTGTCAACATTTTGTCAATTTTGTTTCTTCTGTCTTCTCCTACACTGCAACCCTACTGGATTACTTTGAATGAAAACTAAAACATGATAGCATTTGTTACCCCTGTGAGTCTGACGATGAGTTTACCTCAGAATCCAATGAGAAAGGCGTGTTTTGGGGGGCTCAGCGGGAGACGGGCTTGCTGGAGGCAGCTTGACAGAAAGGCCAGTGACCTGAGAGTTACGGAACCTGCCTAACTTGTTCGGTTTTGACCTTGAGAGGCTAGGTTCTCCTCTCTGGGCTCAGGTTCTCATCTGTCACCTGAGCAGGTTGGCCTAGGTAAGCTACGAACTTCCTTCGAACTTTAACTTTGTTCTAGCCTAAGGTCTGCCTTTTGGTCTAGCATGGTAGTTCTCAGACTGTTGTTTCTGGACCTGCAGCTTTACTATTGCCACAAAACTTGTGTGGAATGCAGATTCTTAGGCCCCTACTTAGCCTGACTCAGAAATTTGG